TTCTTTTTTATTCTGGTTTGGAAAATTCTCAACTTTGTACGACAACTTGTTGCTAGAGTTTATATCAGTTGAAATTCTACTGTTTTTACACTTTCTCAAATTAATTTTTTTTAAAAAAAAATGAAAGCCATTGAGAATTTCCTCAGGAGTCCAGGAACGCAGCATTGAAGATGAGAATATTATTTTTACTTTTTTGCCCTTAAAAAAGCCATTAGTCTAACACCTTGGGAAAGCAGTTTTACGCAAGGAATCTATCGGGACGCTATGGTACTTTCATCTAATTTGTAAATAAATAATTTTAAAAACACAATTTATAGAGGGACTTCTCTTGAAATAAAAAATTCTTTAACTCCTTTCTAATAGTTTTTTTTAATCTTTTTTTATTTTAAAAGAAAAATAAAGTGATTTAATAACTCTTAGAATTAGTAATTAAGATTGTTCGTCTGGCTGATTTCGGTAGCCATAAACGCCCTTCCATGACAACTATTAAATAATCTTAATGACTTTTTTTTAGGCAATGCATGTTGTGAACGGATCCTTGGTTTGGTGTTGGAGTTTTTATTTTTATTTTTTATTTTAATGTATCACCTTTGAATTTTAAAAATATCCATTTAATTTATTTTTTTTTAAATTTGATTTATTTTTATTATAATTTATTTTATTTGAATTACTTTATAAAATTATTTTTTATAATTTTTTTATGTCAGATTTGGTATACATTATTTTTATTATTATTTATTTTATTTTAGATTGTTATTAATTTTAATTTTTTTTTCAATTTCACCCTCTATTTTTTTATATCAGATTTAATTTTTATTCTTTTTATTGTTATTTTTTATATTTTAGCAAATTTTTTAAATTGATATCTATTTTAAATTTTATCCTTCAATATTAAATTAGTTTTGAATTGAGTTTCTTGATTAAACTTGTATTTAAAATTTCACGAGTTGCGAATTCGGATGATTAACCCAACTTTAAGAAATTAGCTTAATTTTTCTTTGTTTGTTTTTTTTTAAGTTCATATTTTTTTCAGTTTAATCTTTCAATGTTTATTTAATTGGTAATTGGGATCTATTTTTTATATAGAATTTTTCATTAATTTTAAAAAAAAATTGGCTTATTCATCTAGGTTATCTCAATTATTTTTGTTTGTCATTCTTTGTTAGATCTAGCTTTTTTTTTCAAAAAAATTTAATTAAATTAAATTAGTTATTTAAATATAAACATACTTTTTATAATAGTGAGCCACTGTCCATAATAAAGCTTCGACAAGGTTTTCTTTACTTTTTTTTTTAGTATGATATTGACGACTCATTTATTATAGTTAATTATCATCATTTTTTTTAATCTTATTTACTATTTTTTATTTTATTTTATTTTATTGTTAGATTAATCAAGTATATTAGATCTAGGCAAATCAATGATGACCCAAGTCTTAGGTTTTTTAACTTTTTTTAAAAACACTAATATGGCACGAGCATTTTTTTTTTTTACATTAGAAAAGAATTGGTCTAGTTCGTGGTGTGGCTCTTGCCCCTAACATAGTGCTTTAATTAATTGTCATAACTCAATTTTTATCTATTTATTTTTTAATATTTTTTCAAAAGAGAAAAAAAATAAATGGAAAAATAAAAAATGATAAAAGGATTGGGAAGTGAAAATCATAGGCAAGAAAAAAAGGGAATAAAATTATAGGAAGTCAAATAAAAATAGTGGTTAAACTTAATCAAAATATTTGATTATGATTAAAAACAAAGAGATTTTGAGCTTATAAAAATAATTGATTGTGATTAAACAAATGAAGAGATTTAGCCTGGTCTAATAATAGAAATTTAAATTTTTAATGAGCAAAAATTAAGGATTCTTATAAAAGAAATAGTGTAGAAAATTAATCTTGTGTATTTAAAGCAAAATTTTTATTACAAGAAAACAATCATCTATTATTTTCTTTCTTAATAAAAATTAACAATATAAAGAGGGGACAATAGATCTTAACTAGGAAAACATAATAGAACAAAAGAAAAAATATTAAACCTTTTTACCTAAAATCTTGTCCATACAACAAAAAGAAAAATATCACCTAACCAAAAACACCAAACCCTAGCCTCCATCTTCCTCCCTTTTCCTATCAAATAAAAATACAAACACAATAAAAAACCTATTGTCTTCCTTTTTAGTTGTAATTCGACAACATATGATCAATATTAACCTAGCCATCATTACTTTCATAGCCTCCTCCCATGCCAATAGCCAAACAACCCTGCTATTGTAAATTCTTCATCTTATTTTCTTTTTAAATTGATTGAAGTTTAAGGAAAAATAAGTATGACTCGACTTAACTTAGTTAAAATTTTAAATTGACCCGTGATCTAGGGTTACACCTAGTAAAAATTCAACCCTGAATTTATTAACTTCTATTTTAAAAATGATCAAAACAAAATTGTCTTGATTGTATTTTAGAAAAATATTTGGGGACAACCTAATTTAACCTTCCTAACTCATAACTCGAATCTTATCTCGGGTTATGTTTTATAGTAATGTTACAACAATATCATTGAACATTTTCACTTGATGGGTAATTTATTAAAGATTTAAAGAAGTTGGTGTGCTTGTGGTGGAGAGGTCATTTAACTTCTTATCTTATAAAGTTTTTAAATCATCAACCACGGAAATAATTTTTTGTTATATATATGAAACAAGAATGAACTCTATTTTGTTTAGTTCACCCACAAATAGAGTTACTAAGCCTTTCACTATCACATAATAAGAAGATGAAAACACCAAAACATATCTCTAAAGGCTTGACAAGAAATAGCTCAGCGTGAAGAATCTACTTGAACCCATTGTCATTGAAATTCAAATCAATGGAGTCTACTACTATTTTTTTTTATTGAAACTCTCCTCACTAGAAAATAAGCAATGAAAGATCACTTCTAGTAGAGGAAGTGAGCATGACCAGACAAGAACACCCTCATTTCTATCCATAAAAAGCATAATCCTCTGATGTCGTCAATCTCCTACGAGGACATCTAAGAGAAGCACCAAGAGATCCATTTGTGACCACTTGACATTCCCTAAAATCCTAACCAAGCCTCTTACTATCAAATGAAATGAAGTAATAATCATTATCAAGAAAAATTAATTTATGCAATATCTCTTCCATAAGCAAAAACATAACATAGAAAAAAAGTCCTTATAATAGGATTTCAAAAACAAAGCAGAGGATGCCACACAAGGCTATATAGCTATATTGCTACTCATACACTCTTGTTCATGGTTAATTATGGCATTATTCATCTTATTAGTTACTAGTATACTCAACATACTCCTCTTCATCTCATTTTATTAATTTAAGCATTAGAGGATCTCGTGTTCTAACAAAGAACTTATTTCATAGAAAAAATCATGAAAGTCACTCTATCAACCTATTAAACTAGTGGTAAGTCTAGTCACTTCACTAGTCCAAAATCATAGTTATAAAAAGTCTAGTCTAATATGAAGTTTCCATAACTTCATCGATATATAATAAACTAGAGAATTCATAAATAACACTATCATAGGCCAACATGACTTATCTTTGAATGTTCGAATAACCCCTCAACTTGAATCACCTTTAAAGCCCTATAAGGGAGGCCATACTAATCACAAATGTATTTTTGTAGAAAACTTAATAGTCCCTAAATTATATGTTCATAAATTTTATCAACTTAGTCTTAAGTTTTCAAATTAGATCTCTCTATTAATGTTCATTAGCTTTTCTGTAATATCTCATATTGATGAGTGAGAAGTTGGTTGTTGGCCTTATTAGTAGTGCTGGTTGTCAACATGTTGTATGCATTTTGAAGCCTCTAGATTGCCAAAAACAAAATCGTGAGGCATGGAAGCGAAGTTAGGCTGAGTCAAAGCAGACAATATACAGCATGTTGAGCCAAGTTATTACAGTTGGTATCAAAGTGTGGTTGTTATTCAGTATACTTTATAATCATGGAAAGTATAATTAATCGCTTATCTTGAGATAAAATGAACTAGGCATGTAATGGTGCCAATGAGGTTGTTGGGCTTTTTAAGTGGGGTAGATTATAATATCCCACATTGATGGGTTAGGAGTTGGTTGGTGGCTTTATTAGTAGTGCTGGTTGTCAATATATTGTACACATTTTGAAGCCTGTAGGCTGCCAGAAACAAAACCATGAGGCGTGAAAGTTGGGTTAGGTTGAGTTAAAGCGGATAATATACAACATATTAGGTTGTGCTATTATATTTGGTATTAGATGATACTAGGTTGTGCTATTATATTTGGTATTAGAGCTAACCTCACTGGTTGTCCAATGATGCCAACGGGGTTATCGGGCTCTTTAAGTGGGGTGGATTGTAATATAAAATCGGTGGATGAGCAGTTGGTTGCTAGCGTTATTAGTAGTGCTGGTTGCTAACATGTTATACGCGTTTTGGAACCTGTGGGTTGCCCGAAACAAATTCACCTATTTTATTCTTCTGAAAACTGCAATTTAACCTCTAGATTCTATTTTCATTCTCAATTCAATCCCAAACCATAATGGTTATCAATTTTGTCTCAATTTTTTAAAACTTTTCAATTAGGCCCTCATTCATGCTCATTACTCTGTCATTACAGTTTCTAAACGACCTTTTTTACTGCATAAAATAACCACGTTGGATGGGGAAGTGTTAACAAAAAATTATAAAAAGACCCTATTGAGAAATATTGAAATTGGTCGGACCTAATTGATCAAATCTATCAATTTGAAACCATTTGAAAACTGGGTATTAAGTTAAGGACTAAATTAAGGCTTTCCTTTTATTTTTGCTCTATGTGATTTCCTTTCTCCCTCGTGTCATCATCCCCTGCTTGCTAGGTCATATCTGCTCTGTGTAGTAAGGTGTTCGTAATATAGGTTTCCATACGAAGGTGGTTGTGAGTTTCTTCTTTTGTTCTTTGGACAGTGTCTTGTAGGCCAAAGAAACTCAAAAGAGCATGTGTTAAATGTAAGCTGCCCAGCAGCCATTACTTCTCAGGTGGTCCGCCACCAGATATTCTGATTCCCACCGTAATTTCTTGACCTGCAAATCTTCAGACAAACAACATGGATAAATTAGAACAGCAACATATTTTTAACCTAAAAATCAAGGTACGAGAGAAACTTACACCCACTTTGTAATCCCAATTGTTCCTCAGCCACAACGAGCTAAACCAGTACGTGTCAAAGGTTGCACTAAGCACGAAACTGAATTTGTCTCTCGTAGCCAACAAAGGGATGGATGGATGCGTGCCTAAAACAGTGGCACACAAGCAAATCTGTTTTAAAAGCCATAAATAAAACCCTGTCGGCAGCCACATATTTGGTGGTGGTGAATTCGAATAATTCAAGCAACTTCTCAGATTTATATAATTCAAAGTCCAAACACACAAAGATTCATGCATTTTTTTCTCTTTTGTCGTCGTCGTAGTCATCATCTTCTTTCTTTTCTTTGTATAAGAAATGAACAAATCAACGAATTCCAGCGTTTAGGAAATTAAATCTAATTATTCTAATCTAATGTTCATAGTATTAGTGCCAATAATCACAACAGTGATGGTTATAACACTGTGATTCTTGTCTGTGGCTTGGAGAGTAGCGGCCTTTATATCCAATCGGAGGGGAGCAACTGCGAGATTGGTGATAATTGAGAAACGATTTGGTAGGTGTAAAGTCGATACTGGAAGCATAGGATGTCGGGGGAGAGATTTTCTTGAGCGATTTCGGAGGAGACAAAATAGCTCTAATCTTCGAACCAGGACAAGATCTATCGAATTCGGTAATCAAGCTCTTTAATTCATCCTCCGATTTTACAGAAATTAACGTCTCCAAGTCTCCGTCTGGTAACTGACACCTTAATTCCACCGAATATCCACAGAATTCACCTAGCTTCACCATCAACTCTGTTTTTAAAAAAATAATAATCAAAATATTGAACTAGATAAAAAAAAATTAACGTAAATTAAGTGTTGACTAACAAAAAACAATAACGAACCTGCATAGGACATTGAACGGTCGACGGCCAGAACTCTGGTTAAACCACCAACGTAACGGAGAACGCCGTCGCTGGAACGAGGAAGAATTTTACCACCGTAACTACATAGAAACTTGAGAGTTTCTGGTTTCGTTTTTGTTTTACAATCAATACTCATCACCTTGTTTTTTCTGTTGATTTCACCTTGTTTTTTCTTTTGATTTTCTTTTCTGAGTGAAAGTAACAATGGAAGCGAGTAGCTAGACTTGAAAAGAGAGCCGGCAGAGACTCCTACAGAGAGAACGAGGGAAGAGAGAGAGTGTTTGGGTGTGCGAAGCGAAGTGGGGGAGTATAAATAGGAGGGTAGGGAGGGACTTTCTCGGAATTTATGAAATGTGGACGAATTTTGTTGGAAACAGAAAGGAAAGTTGTAGGGTAAAGGGTTCCAACTTCCGCGAGAGAGAGTGGGAGTGAGGCCTGAGGGGACGCTTTTGAAAAAAATCAATCCAAATTACATTCGGATATTCGAAAGTATGGTCGGCCGACTAAAGTTTTTTCTTTTTTCTTTTTTCCAGGACGTTTTAAATTGCGTTTTTTCAAATTTTAAAAAATAAAAAATATTATGCTATGTTAAATTGTTTTCTTTTATCTTAATTTTGGGGGACGCTTGCTTATGTTATTGATTGTTTAGTTAATTATGGGATTTTGTTGGACCGCTTTGATTTTTATCTTTTTTCAACCATGTGACCAATGACCATTGTTTTATGTAAGATTCAATGATTGTATAATTGTTTGCTTCTGAGTTTTCTAAAGTACTAAATTAATTTTTATCAAGTAATAAATAATATTCATGACCCAATATAAATATATATTTATTTTATTATTTTAAAAATAATTTTCTTATAGAATAAATAGGAAACAAAATAAAGTGTTGCTTATCCTACATTAAGTCACCAATATAATAATAAGATAGGGCTCATCATAATTTTTTAATTTTTTAATAAAATAATGTTTTTTAAATAAAAATATAATACTATTATTTTTTAAAATAATAAAACATATTAATTCATCATCAAATTATTATATTCAACAGATTAATTTTTTAAATAATTCAAAAATAAATTTTATATAAATTAAATTCGAGTTAGCAAATCATTAAATGAACTCACTATAATCAGTAATAAATACATATACGACTTGTGTTAAATAATTATAGATTAACTAAGAAGAGAAGTTATTATAAATTTAAACTATTTCATATCTTGAAGTCATTTATAGTGTTTTCAAGTGATTAAAAAAGATATCATATATTTTTTCTTATGCTAGCATTAATTAAATCTCAATGACATATTAATATATGTTTCTATTCATTTGAAATAGAGACAATTTAATTGATTTTCCTCTAAAAAAAGAGATAAAGAAACACCAAACTACATAGAAAAAATTTAAATAATACCAATAATTCATTAATTCTTAACGATTTCATTAGGATTCTTTTAACATGTAGTCACGCATGGCAAGAAAGATTTAATAATAGGGACAATTTCGGCTGTATTTGGTTCTTTTCTTGTGCGTTTAACCACATAATTAGACAAAATCATAACCAAGTAACGCATCCATAGGATTTTCTTTGGTAAAGCACAATGAATGAGAGATGCTTGATTCTATAAAATTGCATAATGTAGGAGTGTCTAGAGCCCCAAAGTAGGCTTCTATAAAGGACTTACAACTTTTTGTAGGATATACTAGCTCGGTGTTATGTATTGTGCCGCTAATTGGATAAATTATTTTTTGAACATATAAAAAATATCTAAATATTATTATTATTATTTTAGTAAAAAAATTAAATCATATGAAGGTTAATCTAATGTGATCTAATTAGTTTAATAATTTCAAAGACAACTTGAATGATTGGTAAAAACATAGTTCGATTTACAAAAATTCAAGACAATATCATTTTTTAAAATAATATTGAAACGATAATATATTGAATTGATTCAGGTCAATCTTAGTTAACTTGTTAAATCCTTGATCTGGATCATAAGACCATGATAACCCTATATAAAATAAATTAAAACAAATTATAAAGTTCAATTCTCAATTAACTCAATGTTAAAGAATGGAATTCAAAACAATTAATTAAAAAAAAAATTAAGAATTTTTTTACCTAAATTAACCTGCTAAACTCATAACCTAAATTATGAGATCAAAATAACTTTATAGAAAATAAATAAATAAAATCATCTAAGTCTCCCAGATTAAATTATGATCAAGGTTATGAGATTGTAATAACCCTTTAGAAAACAAATCAAAATAAATTATAAAACTTAATTTTTAATAAACTCATTATTCAAGGTTGAAAGATTTAAAAAAAATCAATATAAAATTAAGACAATAAAGCAACTCAAATTTACTTAGGTTAACCTGCAAAACATGTGATCTGAGTCAAAATCAGGATAATCTTATAAAAAGACAATCAAAATAATCATGAAGCCTAATTCATAATCAAATTATGGCGAATGATGAATGATTAGTACTTAAAAGTGTTTTTTTATCAAGGTTTTATATCATTATTTTGCACTTGAAGTATCAATAACTTCTTAACTAAAACATGTTTTATAATAACATATCTAATAATATAAGATACTTTTAATTTATGATAAATATTCATTTTAAATGTGGGCCTATCACATAAATGAAAGGATTGATTGATGAATTTAAGAACTGAAATTGAAAGGACAAAGAGACGGCCAAACTTAGAAAAAAGATGTCAATGCAGTCCAAACCAAAACACTATTTAGTAATTGGGTTATATCTGGAGCAGTAGATCTCAAATTTAGGTTTACTTTATATGGATGGAAAGATAAGATATAAGTCTACAACTTTTATATGAAGCTCAAGATTTAAAAAAGTCATTTTTAAATTCAAATTATAGCAACAACAAAAAAGTCCAAATTTATTCTACAATCCAAACATTATTTAGTTTTTAGCCCATATCTAGAGTTCTAGAAGTTCAAATGACCTCCATTTTTTTCTCCGAAAAATCTAAGATAATTTCTTACAACTTTCATGTTTTCATGCGATTCCAGTCCTGACGCTATCAATGATGTTTTGGATAGACAAGAGAAGATAAGGATTGCCATCAAGTTAAGAGTTGGTCACCTACTCATCAATTAGTCATAAAATTAATAGTTCCCAATTCTGACCTATAAAAGAAGGCATTTAATATGCATTTAGGCATCTTGGTTTCTAGATCAAGATCATGCTCTTGCT